CGTGTATGCCTGTGTGTGTGTGTGTGTGCATTCCTTTTTAAATGTTCTTCTCCACATTCCTACATACCAGAGTGAGGTACTGGCTTTCTGTGAACATAGTCTGATCTAGAGATTGTGTGGCTATGCTAGCTGCACCCCCATGCCTCCTTAGTGGCTCCTTACATAGTATCCCATCAAAAGTTCCCAAGAACAGGTACTACTTGTTTTAAAAAAGGAGGTCAGTGAGTTAATATATAAAATGTGTATGTGCTTGGAGTGTTTTCAGAGCGAATACATGAGACATTGGAAATAATAATTTCTCTGGGAGGGGCCTGGAGGAACCAAGGATCACAGATGATAAGAAGACATTCTTTTTAAATATATATATATATATATATATATATATATATATATATATATACACATATATATTTGATGTCAGAGAGGAATGGAGAGGGAGAGGGAGAGAGAGAGAGACAGAAACATCAATGATGAGAGAGAATCATCAATTGGCTGCCTCTTGCACACCCCCTACTAGGGATTGAGCTCACAACCTGGAATGTGCTCTGACCGGGAATCAAACCGTGACCTCCTGGTTCATGTGTCAATGCTCAATCACTGGGGCACACCAGTTGGGCCATTTGACTTTTTTTTTTAAATACCATTTGACTTTATACCATGAGCAAATATTACCTTAAAATTACACTAGGAGGGTAGGAACTACCAAATGATATTTGCTGGATACTGGCTGTATTTCAGTCACTACTAACTGTTGGTTCACTATAAAGTCTCCTTTAATCTGTATAACAGCCTTACATAAAGCCCTATTTTACAAGATGGAAAGAGACTCAGGTAATATCAGTGGCTTGGTTTATACAGCTGATAAATGGCCACATGCACTGGGCTCTTTCTGATTTCCAAAGCCATGCTCAGTCCCATAGACTATGTTGCCAGGACTTCGTGTCTCTTGAAAATAAACCACATTTATAATATCGTACCTTTGAGACTACTTTTAAAAATCCTGTAGGAACCCTATGAAATCCCATCACATGGTTCACCAACAACTCAATGAGCCTTCCTGGACCTGCTTGCTAACCCTGGTCAGGCCTGTGTCCACTGGACAGTGAGCTCACTGAAGATGGTCCACCAGTCCTCTGTTGGCACTCAGAGCACTCACTCTGAAGGCGGACACTGTACCTGCTCTCACGCTCCCTTCAGTAAACCACTCTATCTAAACGGGAGACTTTCGGGTAGAAGTGAAGTGGCTGGCCAATATTCTAAATCTCCTATGCCTATGGATTCTTCATCTATTTAACAATTATCTCTCAAGTGTCCACTCTTCTTAGTGTAAGAACTAGAGGAAGCAAAAACAAGGTCCTTGTTCCCATCGAGTGTTCATCCTGGTGTGAAGAGACAGGCAATAAACAAACAGCAATCAAATGAGCAAACATCAGATAATAAGTATATTGAAGAAAATTAAAATAAACTGTTGTGATAGAGTGACTGAGTGGCTACTTTGTCTCAAGCCAACAGGGAAGGCCTTCTGAGGAGGTGATGTTTACTTAAATGGCAAAAATGACACATTTGTCCTGGGAGCTACTGTCCTTAAAAACAGACTCCAGTTTCTTTTGTATGCTCCAGCTCTCACCTGATTTTCATTCCAAGTGCCTGTTTACAATGTGGATTTTTAATCCCAGAAGTTAGAGCTGGAAAGAACCCTACAGATCTTCCTAATCTCATGCCTCGATTTTAGACACAGGAAAGAAAGATCTAGAAAAGTGAAAAGAGTGGGTCACACAGCCAGTTAGGAACATGACTGAGAGTCCAGTCTCCTAGCCAATATTTCTTCCACAAACCTAGATTCCTTTCCTGCTTATCTTCTCTCCCCCACTTTCTTTGAATTTATTGGAGTGACACTGGTAAACATAACATCTGAACACTGTATTGTGCGTTCACCCCGTATCCATTTCCTCACTGTAAGATCCTACCCTGGTACCTGCCTCTCTAGAGTCCACAGATACTAAATCTCCCCTGGACCACAAGGAGGGACCTGCAGGAGTGGTATCAGGAATCCTGAGAATGCAGAATGATGCTGGGGCTTGGGTTACTGTGGAAGAAACAGTACAACTTCCCACAGTGTGATGTGTGATTTCACCACATCTCAGACATGCCCTGGACCTGTGCCTGGCTCCTGCCACCCCTTCCTGCCCACAAAAGAGCCCTAACGAGAACTTCCTAGTTTAGAAATTGCGTGGCTCTGTGAACTCAGTGAACACTAAAGATCGCTCCCCAGCAGTGTTCCCTGATTTAACCAAGTCGATATGAAAATGTTCTATTCTGTGATTTCAACACCTCTCCAAATGCTTTACAAAATGATTAACCACAGAATTTCTTTAAATAATAAGTTCCATTAGTACATTTAAAGTATGATCTATGAAAACTCAGCCTACACACAGATCTTATTTCCCACCACCAGAAACAACAACAACAAAAACCTAGCTACTGTATCAAGGGCAATAGCATAAACTTGGATTCTTAATAATGGATTTTAGACTCTTGTATTATGTAATGGTTCTCATTCATTAGACAAATATTTATTGAACTGCTCAATGTAACACACTCTTCCAGGCTGTTGTGAGGACACAATAAAAGACACATCCTCTGGCCGCCGGAAGCATGCACGCACGCACACAGCCCTAACACAGGCAGATGTGATGAGTGCTAAAACAGAGGTATGGGCAAATGCTACAAGGGATGAGGGAGTAAGATTAAATTTCGGTCAAAGATCAGGGAAGGATACAGCAACATTTTAATTGGGTTTCAAAGGCTGGTTATTATTTGTATAATTGTACAACTCATCCCAGGAAAAGGAAACCTCATGACATGCTGTATACTCTCAGGACAGAATGGAGTCCAGTATAGCTTGATGGTGAGACGGGAAACAAAGAAGAGAAAGACAGGAGTTGAAAGGTAGACCAGAGCTTTGAATGAAAGAGTAAAGTTTAGACCCAATCCATAAACCACAGAAACTTTGAGTGGGTTTTGGGCAAATAAAAAACATAATCAGAATTATGCCTTAGGAAGCCTATTCTGCATCCATGTTTAAGGGCTGATCTGAATGGACAAATGTGGGAATCAAGAGGCAAGAAGGCATACATATCACAATCACATTGTTCCTGGATAATAATAAAAGTAAGGAATACATTCAAGAGCTAGAATAAAGGTAGAAGTGATAAAAAAGGGAGAGGATCCAAATTCCAGGGTAGAGAATCTAGTTTTGGAAATGGGTGGGAACCGCAGGCCTCAGATTTCAGCCTAAGGAAGAGAAGTCAGCACGAGTGATAGTAAGTGGTATCTCTTTAAGAAAGTACAGTTTGAGATGCCCCATACTTGAGAGAGTAATCATGAGTTTACCTCACAAAAGCTACCCCAGCTGGATGTCTTCTGATCCATGCCTGAAGCCTCAGTTATTAATAACTCCTCTTCTGGAGATGTACAGAAGTGCCTATTACACACGAGGGTCCCAGCATACTTCTTAAATTATTTTGTCTCTACAGCAGCAGTGAAAATCAGCTTGATTGGGATGAAGAGCAGGAGCCCAGGGAACAACCATTTATGAACAAATGATAACTCAGAGGAGGGAGGGCAACTTTAATCAAGAACACCAGGCATAATGTAAGCCTTATACTGTGCCCTGAAATGAGGAAAAACATGACAGATGGAGGTCTTTCAATTTGAAGAATAAGGTCCTAGGTTCCACTACCTGAGCCACATATGCCCAGTTTCATAGGTGAGCAGTCATATACTATCTGTCCAGGGCTCTCTGTAACAAGACCATGAATTTCAAGTTGAGTTCTGGCCTCTTTTCCTGGCTACTCTGTTGAAATATATAGCTTGGTTTCCATCCTAGTCAGAGTCACGCTGACATCTTAAAGCCTGTTCTCAGCCAATCAGTCCATAGAGTCTGTAGAAATTGCCTTAAATCAATGTTTCCCAAGGTGTTTCACAGAATATGAATTTCAGGAACAAAAGGGTGTTGTGTTAAAATAATTTTGGGAAATGCCAAGTTAAATAGTAGAAAATATGTGGGTTTTTTTGCTAAAAGATACCTCTGAACTTTCAAATGCTAATATGTTCTGAGAATCTCTCAGGATGAGAAAGAGTAGGTAGCATCTCCCAACCTTATTTATCTGCAGAACCATTTTTCAGTAAAGCATCTCAAGGGACCAGGGTCCTGCAGAACACACTCTGAGAAATACCACTGATGGCATTACTCTCAGGACCCTATGTATTTGACTAGGAATCAGGAACAATAATAAAAGCTAATACCTATGGAGTGCCGCCTATGTGCCAGGCACCTTTTCAAGTCATTTACATATAATAATATTTAATCCTCATAACAACCCTATAATAATGGTGGGTGCTATTATTATTCCCATTTTACAGATGATGAAGTGGAGGTACAAGTGGTGAAGATATCTGTACAAGGTCTCTAAGTAGATAAGATGGTTAGTAGAGGACATGGGAATTAAACCTAGGCCATAATTTCTAATGGTAGAATTTTAGACATTGTGACTAGCTGGCAGTGGGAGAGAGCCTGAGAAAAGACTTGCATGGCAGGCCTCCCAGCACTGTAAATCCACACCTGCCTGCTCATAAATTAGGCCTCCCTAGTGTACCATGTAGGACATGACTTCTAAATTGTACCAGACACGGTTTCTTCACCAAATTGTGTTACATGGTACATGCATAATCTTCCATTAAAACAAAGTCATGATTCATACAGCACTATAAATAATAAAAAGGGCAATACATAAAGAAAATAATCGTTTGATTAACCAACAGAGCAAGAAAATGAAGATACAAGTTTAAGAAATAGCTTCTTCTGTGTTCTCAAAGTATTGATTTCTTGCTCCCTGCCTCAGAGAGCAAAACCAAGAAACTGCTTTCACGTAATGTTTTGCAAACTTTCCACCCCTTCCTCTCTAGTGTGCTTGAGAATTGCCAAAGACATGTCCTACCCTCTCCCACTTCCTCTCCTTGTTCAGAAGGATTATCACCAGTTTCGGGTGCATCTGGTAGCCATCTTCACTGAAGGACAGATTTCTCCCCTCAAAAGTGACATTGATCAGATACCTGTGAAGATAAAATAAAAGAAAGGTTAAAAGTATGAAGAACGTATGTCAAGAACATGATAGCTAGAAAGAAAGAGACAAAGGTGGATGGAGATAAACACATAGATAGATAGATATAAATACCATGTGGAAATGTGGTACCCCTGGAACTTTTGATTACTCAATAGAGTCATCAACTTTTCACATCATAGGAATAATATGAGAAGTTAATAATATGAAATAAGGGCACCATGTTTGAATTTAGTCTATAGCTATGACTTTGAGCAAATCACTTAGCCTTTTGAACATCACTCTTTTTTCACCTACAAAAATGGGGTAATAAAGAAATCTACTTTATTAGGTTTACACAGCTTAAATGAGATAACTCACCATGGGACCTGGTGCATAGTGAACCCTCATTATGTTAACAATTTTTTTAATCCATTACATTTTATTATTAAATACATCTTAGGTTCTTATCCTGTACTTTTACCAAAAGGCACTAAAATTTTGGCAAATATCTAAACAATTATTTGTTTAGTGGATTAAAGGTGGTAGAAACAAGAAAAGAAAATGGGAATGTGCCATGGCAACTTTCTGCTAAGAAAGGTGGCATATTGGAGCTTAGGCTCTCTCCCCCTACCAGAGATATTCATAGGCTTTTGAACTCCTGCTAAGATCCAGCCTAGCCCATACTTCTAAGAGATGTGAGGTGAGTCTAGTAGTCCAGGATCTTGTTCCACAAGATGCACCTGAGAACCAGGGCTATTGTACTGTACACAGTGAACAGAAAATGCTGGGGGCAAAGGGAGAATGAGGGAGAGGCATTTCACAGAGAGTTCTAGGCACAGGCTCATATATTAGCAGAAACTCTGGAAATAACTAGAGTCAGACCAATGAAATTGTCTTTCTCTGCAACACCTGCACCTACACTCACCCCATCTACCCTGTTGGCCACTCTGATCTGTTGAAGAGTTCCCTCATTGGGAATTTCCATAGGCATGCTCATTACAACCAAATTAGTTCAACTGTGCTGACAGTAATTCATGTCCCTTTACCATAAGGGCCCAAGGAATCCATAATGATTAGCTCTGTGTGTCCACAAGACATGCTACTCTGGAGCCTCAGCCTGATGCTACTGTGAGATGTGTCTCTGCTAAGAAGCAAAGGGGGTATCTTATTACTGACATGAGGTCCTACAGGGCTTTGGAGATATGGCCAACAATGACTTCCTAATATTACACTGAAGGGGAGAAGAAGAAAGCATCAGGAGGCAACTCAAAGTTATATTAATTGAATTATCTTAAGCAAATGATGTTATAAATATCTAAAGGGTCCTTGGCAGAAAAAAGGTTCCACATCCCTGGCTTAGGCAATGATAAAGATGATTAGGCATCATAAGCCAAACTCTCATGGATTTCTTCTCACTTTTAGGGCTGCCTGGGATCTTTTAAGCCTCTCATTCTCTGGTCTTGTGTAGCTTCACAAATGTAACCAGGAGGAACCCTTAAGATAGATACTAGATAACTAGAATCTCAGAATTCAAAGAAACATACATAATCAACTAGCTCACCACTTCTTGCAGTTTATACTTCCTGTCTATAGCATCATAAACTTGGGCCTCACAGCTCTTTTTGAATACTTCCACTGATGGTGAGTTCATCACTACTCTCCACCTCAAGGTAGCCATCTCACTGCTGCCTTGCAAGCCCTTGAGCCTGGTCTCCTCCTTAGATATTATACCATTTTGTTCTACTCCTTCTTTCACATGAGAGCTCTTGAAGTATTTGAAGACATTTATCATGCATCCCTAATAAAATAAATATTAATCTTTGAAGAAAGCTTACGCTCATTTAGGTTGCACACTTTTAACGAGATCGGTAAGAGAGGTTGGATTATTTGCCCAATGTTCCACAGCTAATTGGAAGCAGAAATAACATTTTAAGCCACATTCCCAGTCCCATGCCCTCTCTCCCGTACCATCCTGATTCTCATATGCCACATTGGGTTTAGTCTCCCCAGATCCTTCATGTAGTTATCATATGCTATGGCTTCAAGTTCCCTCCATTATCCCTTGGCTGCTCTCTCTGGGCACTTCCAATTGATAAAAGTGTAGCACCCCTAATTCAACCCAATGCTCCACAGGGCATGCATCCCCTCCATACCCTGCACTGCTCCTCATCTCTCACTCAGTGATGCTTGCTCAAGCCCATCACTAGTTAGAAGATAAGAGTCATGTCTCCTATAGTTTTCAATAACTTCAACCAAATCCCCATATCATTCATTTCAGGGAATATAATTACAAAGGTATAAAATAAAATATTTTAACAAACCAGAATTTGAGTACACAACATAATTTACTTGGGAAATATGTTGTTACTACAACAACACTGCATTGCTTAGAATAATTTCTAGAAATATTCAGAGGTTTATAAGATGTAACAAATTTACTTTCATCTCTTTTTTTAGAAGAAAGCAATAAAGGGGAAGACAAAGGAGGAAAGAAGAATAGGAAGGAAGAAGGGGAAAGAGAGAGGGGAGGGAGGAAAGGATAATTGGGGGAAGGGAGAAAGGGAAAGAGGGAAGAAAAGAGGGAGGGAGAGAAATAAATTACTTCTATCACTCTGATAATTCTGAATTTATCTAAAACAGCACTGAGAGTATTTAAAAGAAAGTGTCCACTTCAGAAGGCAATTATAAAAGTGAAATTCAAGAAAGACTTCAAGTAATAGGCAGCATGAATGGAATAAGTATATAGCCTCTCATTATAATTTATTTGAAGGGGACAGCATTGAATTCAGTGTATAAGTTGAGAAATTCAAACTTTGAGAAAATAAACCACTAACAAGCAATATAATTGACCTATAGTTAAATTTCTTTAGTTATTTTTGCTCCAGATCCTCTGATTTTTCCTTATAAATTTTTCTCTTTCTGAGATATTCATCTTCTTCCATCTCAACAGGTTCATTTTATTTTATCTAGGTATTTCTTGCATATTTTACACTTATCAAAAATATTTTAAAAATTGTATGATAATATAGAAAATATTATTCTCCAAAGTATTCTTTAATCATTAATATCCGTTAGTACTACTTAGATTAATCATTCACATTGTGTTTTTTCTGAGTAACTCCCTCTGACATGCCAACATTTAGTTATTAGTGAGGAGCTTACAAATATTCACCCGCCTTGCACAAGGATGCCCACTGGTAATGAAAAGTGTGGTCATTTCTAGACATGTGACCTTGGCACCTGAACCTCAGCTTTTCTTCTTTAAATGGAAATACCATTTTTACTTCCAGTTTATCAGATACGGCTATGTGATGATCACATGAAATAGTGAATAAGACGACTATGTAAAATATGATATAAATATAAGCTTATACAATAAAAAGACATTCAGAAAAAGAATACAGTGGCATGATTTGACTACCTATCTTATTTTAGACTCAGGAAAAGTGCGATGATTGCATTTAACAAGACTCAATTATCAATGGAACACAGTGGAAGAATGGAGATTGCATTCCACATATGGAAGATACACTAGGTCAAGTGGTGATATTAATCAATTTAACTTTCCATAAAACATGAAATCTCCCATCTTTGCATCTGACTGCACTTTGTCAATTTTGAGTACGACTTAAAGCCTTAACAGTTCCAGGTGTAACCCTCGCTAAAGGGCTAAACTATAAGATTTAGAGATACCATTGCTATTTTGTTTTACTTTAAATGTGTTGTCCTCAGTATTCAATCAGAAAGCCTTGCTTCAAGTGGCAGCCAAATTCAGATGCTCTGCCTATAAGACTCTAATCCGCTGAAAGCCTTATCAAGGTTTGGTATTTAAAAACTAGTGCTTGATTTGTCTCCGGGATGTAGTTTGACCAACAAGAACCCTGATGGCCTGTCTCAAAAGTTCCAACATTACATAAATCTCAAATTGCTAGAACTAGAAGAAAACTCAGAAATTATCCATTGATAACTCTACTTTTAGAAAGAAGAAAATAGGTCCTAAGTTGCTACCCAACTTTCCAAGGTGAACTTGACCTGCTTGTTCAGGACTTCTGATAGTCAGTTCATGGTTCTTTCTGCTGCATCACCAAGTGAAGTGAAATCAGGTTTGCAGAGCCCCAGATGTGCATTATAGTATTCTCATGTCACATAGGCCCTAGACTAGGTAGATCCCTAATATGGACTGCATAAAATAAAATCCGTCTCATTTCCCTCTTGACTCCTGCTTGTAAAGAACCTTAGAACCCTGAAGGGCTCAGAGCCAATATATTTGCTTTTTATTGCCAAAGTCATACTCCAGTAGGTTTAACAGGGTCAAGCTGAGGTGAAAAGCCCTTGTGTCTCTTTGACTTTGACCATGACACTCAGAGCTCATCCACTGCACCACGTTGATACCTAAAGCAATGATTTAGCAGTATGCCCCATGTGGGAGGTGTCCCAAAGGGCTCAGCTAGAATTTTCACAGCAAACCAAAAGTCCTGGCACCAACAATGCTCATTTTGCCTTCCATAGGTACAAGGCTCTAGATTTTTTGTTGTTGTTAATGTCCATTAATGTGATAATAAGGTAAGTAAGTCACTTATCTCATCCAATCCTTTCATTTTCAGATAAAGCAGATGATGTCCAGAAGTGTTTGGTGGCTTTGCTGGAGAAAGGATCCAGGGGTCCTCACCCCCAGTGCAGCACTCTGTCCACTCACCACCATGCCTCAAAAATGGTGAAATGGTTCATAGCTCTGAGTTTCCATTCTCCAGTTATTATGAGAGAGCAATAAAGGAACACAGTTCCAGGCAGGAGACTTGAATTCTTGAGCCCTTGTTTATAATGTTCCTGCTCTGAAAAATCTACAACTATAATCATGTCTTTGGTGTGTCATTTACCTTTTAAAGCCATCAGCTCCCTCACCTATAAAATACCATAGTACCTACCTGATGAGGGAAGTTCAGGGATGCTCCTTTGACATGCTCTCTGTCTCTACATTTCATCTGATTAATACTGTGGCTATCTATACTA